CACACACACCATATACACCACACATAAACACCACACCACACACACACCACACACACCACACACACCACACACCACACACACCATACACACCACACACAAACACCACACACACCCCCCACACACACCTCACACACATCATACACACCACACACACCACACACACACACCACACACACCACACACCACACATCACACACACCATATACACCACACACACACACCACACACACACCCCCACACATTTCACACACACCACACACCCCATGCCACACACACACCACACATATGATACACACAAACACAACACACACACCACACACACCACACACCACACATCACACACACCATATACACCACACACACACCCCACACCACACACACACCACACCACACACACCACACACACCACACACCACACATCACACACACCATATACACCACACACAAACACCACACACACACACACACACATTTCACACACACCACACACCCCATGCCACACACACACCACACATATGACACACACAAACACAACACACACACCACACACATACACACCACACACAACACACACACCCCCACACCACACACCACACACAGCACACACACAGCACACAAACCACACAAACCACATACACAAACCACACACAAACCACACATCAAATGCACTACACACACCATACACACCACACTCACCCTCTACACACCACACACACAACACACATGACCCCCCCCACACCACACACAGCACACACACACCAAACACCATACACACACAAACCACACAAACCACACACACACACCGCATACACACACCACACACACCACACACCCCATACACACACCACACACAATACACATACCACATACACGCCCCCACACACCACACCAACACAACACACATAACACATACTCACCACACACACCGCACACACACCCCATACACACACCAAACACACCACACACACATGCCCCCACACATACCACATAACCACACACACACCCACATACACAAACCACACACCAAACACGGCACACACACACACACCACACACACCATACACCCCACACACATACCACACACATTACACACACCACACACACACACCACACATACGACACACACCACAAACACACCCATACACACACCACACACACCACACACACCCCATACACACACAACACATAACACACATTACACACACACCCCCACACACCATACACAACACATACAAACGCCATACCACACAGACAAACCACACACCACGTGCCCCAACACACACACCACACACACACAAACCACACACACACCACATGCCCCCAAACACACACCACACACACGCCCCCACACACAGCACACACACAACACACATAACACACACTCACCACACAAACCACACACAAAATACACACACATGCCACACACACACACAGAACACACACCACACACACAGCGCGCACACACACCCCCCCCCATGCATTGCAACTCAAATCAAAACAAACTGTGACTGATGCTTTCTGTGATGGGGGAGTTTTTAAAAGTGGAAAACAAAGGATGAAAACATTTATTCTGATGGAGAGGTTTGGGGAACCCCTGAAAAATTGAGAATAAGGCACTCAAGATGGAAGGCGCAGCCCAGGCATAGAGGCAGGGAAATGATCTGGGAATAGCAAGAAACCAGTGACTGAAGGTGAGCATGCGTTGGGACCCCTGGGGGGATGTGACAAGCCCCTGGAAAGTAAAAGCCTCAGTTCTTCCCCAGGTTCACGGTCCCCATGCTGGGTTCCAAAATCAGAGGCAGTGGAAGAGCTAGAGGATCTGCTGGTGAGGCTAAGCCTTTGCATGAATTTGAAGGGCTTGCCTGTTATCACTCTTCCCCACAGGTTGAGGAGCGTCAAGATGGAGCAGAGGAAGCTAAGTGACCAAGCCAACACACTGGTGGACCTTTCCAAGGTGAGTGGCAATGTCTGGAGACATCCCCTAGAACGTGCAGACACCGAGTCTTCTCAGGCTCACCTGTGAGTCCTGGCTGGGTTTGCACTGGACAGAGCAGGACCAGGCAAGCAAAGACAAATTTCTGCCTGGTTCAAAAATACCTATGCTCTAGTTTGTTCCATTTGCAATCTACCGGTATGTCTTGTGGTCTTTTAAAACTTGGCATTTGTTTTTTAAGTGAAATCGCTCAGGTGTGTCTTTGCGTGGAATTAATGAGCTGACCGAACCTTTCCCGTGTCATTTTATGAGCTGCACACTGAGGGACTCCTGAGGTTGGGCTTGAGTTTGCACGGCTGTGAAGCATGCTAGCAAGGACCAGACGGCGACGATAGCCATGCTGACTGCCCAGGTCATACCGGTTTGCTGTGATACTTGGAACTTCATTTTTGTGCATCCTCCAATCCTTAACAACCAGTTTTTCTGGCCTCAAATTGGTGGCAGTGGTGTGTGTGTAGGGGTGCATTTCTTTACCTCTCAAGAGGCAGATAGCCTACAAGGAACATGAAGATACCCAAAGAGAGAACCCTCCTTTGAGAGTCCTAGGGCGTGAGGCTCGCCATCACTCTGCGGCTCTGTTTCTGGCCCTGAGCTGCCATAAATACTGTAAAGAAACTCTGTCCTCTTGCAAATCACCCAGGTGAGGGAGCTGAAGGCACACTGCTGGCAGAGCTGAGAGTGGGTGCCACTGAAGAAAGGGCTTCCCCCACCTCAGCCCACTCTCCTCATTGCCTCTTGATAGGAATTGTATATTAAGCGTACAGCCCAGGGCCAGGCTGGCAGAACATTCCAGCAGATGTCAATTATCATAATGGAACACATTCCCTGGGTAAGCAAGAGAAACTCCCTCAGGCACATTAAGCACCCTTTGAAAAGAGTGCAATCAGAGAAATCACTAGTTGTCGGGCCACGTGCAGGCGCCTTGTTTAATAAAGGGATTGAACAAAAGAAAGGGCCTCCTAAACCTGTGAGGACTTCAGTCGGGGAGTAAGCGGCTTGGCACAGTTGGGGAGAAGCCTCCAGGCCTGCGTGCCTTTGGAGGAGGGCGTTCACGTGGAGTGCAGGGTGGTTCCTAGGAGCCTGCGGTGGGAGTGGAACGTGGGCATGCAGGAGAGAACTCCCTCAGGTTTTTGGGTGTGTTGGTTTTAATATCAGAAACCTGCTGGGACTAGGTTTAAAAATGGAGAAATCTATTCTAAGGATATAAGGGAGTCTCATTCCAGGCAGAACCTCAAAGGAGACATGTGGCCAGACTGCAGGAAGGAACTGACTTGAACCAGACCTGGGAAGCCCCCACAACCAGGAGGTCTCTCACCATCACTTCTGTCTCTTTCTGTACAAGTGACTGCTTCAGTTCTCTCTCCCTCTCCCTGTCTCTCTCTTCCTCTCCCTCTCTCTCCCTCTCGTTCTCTCCCTCTATGCCTCCCGTCCCCACAACAGACTGTAACAGGCTCCAATTCAGAGAGTACATATGATAGTTTTAGCCACAGGTAAAGACTAATTGGCCCCCTACTAGTCTTAATTCTAAATTCTCAGAAGAGAAGAAATGATTGGCCAGTTTGGGCCATGTATCCACCCTGGGACCAATCAGCATTGGCCAGGAAGAGGGTCATATGGAGCAAACAGGGCTAGAGGCCCACCTGTGAGCTTCAGGAACAGCCCAACGAGATACCCCAGGATGTTTCTTCTATGAGGAGCAGTGTTTCCTGTCTCTCCTCTCACTTTGCAGGACACACTGTGACTGATGTTCCCTGGGGACATCGGGCAAACCCAACTTTCAAACCTGCATTTCTGCAGTGCCACCCATGGCCTCTCGGAGAGATGGGGCCCACAGAGCAGACTGGGTGAAGCGAACCCCTCAGGGAACTGGAAAGACACTCCTGTGAATTGGGTGGGGGAACTAAGCTGTAAATAACCCAGGAGCAAGTTACCTGGAAAGAAAGAGTGTGCAGGAAAGGGTTAAGGGAAAAAATCTGCAGAACCCCCATGGGGAGATATGGGGAGGAGGTGAACTCTGACATTCGCCCAGTCTTTGTCTTTTCCTCCCAGGAGACTCACCCAAGGTCCTGGCGGCAGCTTAGCACACTTCACACTGGTCCATATTCCCCCTGGCATCCTGTCACCAAGCAACGGAACAGGGGGAGACGATAACGCCGTGTTCTCTCTCTTTTCTGTCTTTGTGCTGTAGCCTCCCAACTCAGCGCCTTCCCACTCCTGCCCTTTGGTCCTCTCTAAATTAAGAATATGGCACGTGGCCTCCACATATTATGTCTGTATTGAATTGCTGTCCTATAGGCTGGCAGAGCTGGGAGGGCTTGGAGTCTTTCCCCGATTGCTTCAATTACTTCAGCTGAAATATAAAAATAATTCCTACCATCGGAGGCTCAGGTGATCGAATAGGATGATATCTGTGAAAATGCTTTGTAAACTATAAAGGTTTTGCAAATGGTAGTTCTGATTATCAATATAGATGAGGAAACCAAGATCCAAACGAACAAAGTGACCATCCCACAGACAGGCAGTTGGTGAGCACCAGCGCAGGGGCCACGACCCAGAGGCTTGGACTCTGAGTCCAGAGCTCATCAGGGTACCCCTGTGGTCAAATGAAATGGGTGATTTTGCACATTCCGGGAAGAATGTGCGCCTCGAAGAGGTTCTGTCATGTTGATTAATAAAGGGAGTACTTTCACTTCTAAAGTCGTCCTGTCCTCCAAGGGCATCCACAACACGGTGTCCTGCTCTGGCCACAGCGGAGCTCATGGGGGCAGGGCCATCTCCATGCCACCTCGTGACGTTTCCTTATGCTGCCCCAGTGATTTCCCCGTGGGGCCTGGAGTCTGCTGGGGAGGCCTCACTGCATTTTGCATCCCTGCTCCCCTTCATTCTTCTCTAGCTTCTCACATCTTCTTTTACTCCTCTTTTTTCCTCTCACCTTACTTGCTGCTGCTTTGGTCCCTGGGGCATAAATCGTTTCCACGTCTTCCTAGAGTAACCTGAAATTTCAGGTGAAATAGGACTGGGGTGTCACCGGCAGATCACCAGAAACCCAAAGAGCCACAGTACCTCAGGGATGACCAGGCGACCACCGGCCTGGCCCTCTGCATTGCCGCCCTAGGAGCCTCACTCCCTGACACGTGGGAGGGTGAAGACACCCATGAATCTTGTTCCCAAGTCTGATGTACACAGCCAAGATGGCATTTGCTAATTTGCGGGGAGAAAAATATCTGTTGCATAGACTGAGAGTCTGCAGACCAACAAGGGGGCCACGAGATGTTGGGGAAGGAGCACTGGTAATCGGTCGGCACCCCTGGAACACGGAGAGTCAGTGCTGAGTGCAGGAGGGGTACTGGGGAGCTCTGCGGGGAGCACCCTCAGGACCCCTGCCAAGGGGTGAGGGAAGCAGGATCGGTCAGAGGGAGAGTCTGAACTGGGATACAGTCAACAAAGACCTCAGCCCTTCAGAGTGGCCCTTCGGGGATGTCCCACCCTGAGGCATTGTGGATCAGACAGGGGAAGGGCCACACCTTAGCAAGGCAGCCCCTTTGGCTAAGCACTGTGCTTGAGAGTTAATTCACTTTACTTCCTGGCTGCTGTGTTAAAATAGAGGTTGGGAGATGTGCAGTAACTCCTAACTGTGTATAGTTATTATTAACTCCAATTGTATAAAGCAGTTGAGATTGAGAAAGGCCAGGCGCCTGGCACTGTTAGTGAGCTGCAGATGTGTACTTGAGCCCTGGCCTACTAATTATACACCCACTGCACTGTCCATTCCCCACCAGTGTCTTCTCTGGAATCATTAGATGCCAGCAGCCACGTGAGCTGAGAGGTTGTGGCCCTGTCTCTAAAGAGACAATTTAGAGACTCACTTTATTTAAGAAAAAAAGGGGCCACTTTGTTCCCTCTCGGTGCATATTTTCTAATAAAATGCTGTCATTAATACTCATTATTTTTGTAATAAGAAAACGCAAATGTGCACACTTCAGCCTCCTTGTCCCCAGGAAAGAAGCCTGTATCCTTCCTTGACCAGATCAACTGGTGTGGAAGTGGCTCCTGTCATACTGTGGAGGGCATTTCATTTCTCCCATTGCAGATTCCTCTGTGATGACCTGTCATCTCCCTGTCTCTCACCTCTCTCTCTCCACACAGATGCAGAATGTCATGTATGACTTAATCACGGAACTCAATGACCGGAGCGAAGACCTGGAGAAGCAGATTGGCAGCCTGGAGTCAAAGCTGGAGCATCTCACCGCTAGCTTCAACTCCCTGCCTCTGCTCATCGCCGACACCCTGCGCCAGCAGCAGCAGCAGCTCCTGTCTGCCATCATCGAGGCCCGGGGTGTCAGCGTGGCAGTGGGCACCACCCACACCCCAATCTCCGATAGCCCCATTGGGGTCAGCTCCACCTCCTTCCCGACCCCATACACAAGTTCAAGCAGTTGCTAAATAAATCTCCCCACTCCAGAAGCATTACCCATAGGTCTTAAGATGCAAACCAACTCTCTCCTGGTCGCTTTGCCATCAAGGAACATTCAGACCAGGGAACGGAAAGAAGAGAGACCGAGCTAATTAACTAACTCATGTTCATTCAGCGTGCTTGGTCCGACATGCCTTGAAACCAGAAATCTAATCTCTGTTTAGGTGCCTCTACTTGGGAGCGGGAAGAGGAGATGACAGGAAGCGACGCCTCTGGCAGGGCCCTTGCTGCAGAGTTGGTGGAGAACAGAAATCCACGCTCAATCTCAGGTCTTCACGCGGGGGGTGGGGGTCAGATGCACTGAAGTAGCCAACAGTGAAGCCAGTCCAGAAGAGGGGTCCCCTGGGAGAGGGGGAGTCGTGTCAGGCTTGGGGGATGGGCTCTTCGCCATGGGGGTCTTTGAACACACCTCTCTCCTTTCCTTTTGTCTACGGAAGCCTCTGGGTGACAAAAGTAAAAGAGAGCTGCCCACAACTTGCCAAAACAGATATACCCAAATCAGACTGAGAAAAAAAAAAAAAAAAGACACAGACAAATAAAAAGCCAGATTTTCCACTCAATATTAATACCCACATAAACCTGTGTGTTTGCAAACGTGTACATGTACACACATACACATCCCACATTCGGTTCACGTCCTTTCTTATTTGAGCTTAATCCAAATAAAAAAGGACTTGACACCTTACCCTACACACAATAGGCACCCCTTACATGTGTGTTGAGTTGGTTTGAATCTGAACATGGGGTGCTTTCAGTTCAGGTAGTTAGCTAGTTCTGGCCACATTCTGAGTCTTACTGAAGATGTGGGTCCCTTCAGACATAATGCACATTACTTTGTCCTGGATATGCACCTTGCTTGATTTGAAATGGATGCCAAGCCAAAATTGTTGGCATTCAGGAGGGATAAGCAAGCTTCTAAAAATAACAGCATCTGCAGAGTTTTCTTCTTCCATCCAAACAAGCTGTGTTTTGATGGACCACAATGACTAGGTGTATGTCTGTATGTGTGGAGGGAGAGGACAAGAAATTGTGCGTGTGTGTGCAGACATGCACAAACAGGAGCAACCCCATAACACCTTAGTGAATAGAAGTATGGTTTGGGGATTTGCTGAGCTGTATTTATCCAGCAACAGGTTTCCAGCCCCAGATGTTAGAAGTGCAAAAGGGCCAAGTGCCTCACTTGTGAGCCTCTGAGCTAGGAGGAGAAGTGATGAAGAGTGGCCCATGTGGTCCCTTCTACCTGACCTTAAGTCATCTCAAAATGAAATATTGTGAGAATGAAGGGAACCCTTAGGGAACCTTATGGGTAAGGTAAGAGGACATGGATTTGTCAGCAGACTGTTCCTACTGTGCCATGTTAATCTTGGTGCGAAAAACTATTCCAATACATCTCAAACTCCAAGAGACTTCAGAAACATCAAGATTTAGTGTAGCGAGAGGCACTGAAAAATGTTTTCAATGCTCCATAATCTGACCACATGTAACATTTGTGATGTGAAAACCATCACTTTCTCATTCTGAGGTCTTTGGTTTCTGCCTGTGGGAAATTGAATGGCACTGTATGGAGTATTTCATCTGTTGAAGGTAAAACAAAAGAGTGGTTTTTTTGCTTGTGGTTGTCATCTTGGGTTTACCTTTGTAAGAAGACATCATCACCATTCTGAAGGCAGTGGCTTGGCATGGAGATTTTTCTTCTGTAGCACTGGGCCTGTTCTTCTAAGGACAGCACAAGGTAGACAACTGTCGAGCCAAGGCCACTCTTTCAGGAAGATCTAGTCTGTTGCTCACCTTCTTCTTCCGTCTCTTGCTATTGCTGCTGCTCCTTTGATGGTTTATAGTCTTAATGGCTTGCCTTGATAATTCCTTTGAACACTTTCATTCGTTGTTTTGCATACCAGAGATGCCACACCTGCTGTTGGCTTATTTTTTTACTTGTTCTTTTAAATGTTGATTATCTGAACGTTTCCCCTCCTCGTTTTATGTCCCAAGAATGGTGCTCTTGTTTTCAGTGACAGTTCAGCTGAACATATAAGCAGATGTGTAAACAGATGAAATAACCATGCAGTTTCCTTGTGGCATTAGTTCCATTTCACAAAGTGAAGACCACTGGTGGGCTGATCTGAGTGTGCCAATCCTGATGATTTAAACCTGCAGCCTTCAACTAGTGATTCCTATTCACCGTTTTCATTCTGCTGTAACCCTGTGATATGTGTGTGTGGGGGTGTGAGTGTGGGTGTGTGCACATATAGAGATTTAGTCTTAATTTCAACCAGATGACATGCAAGATTCCACTGCCATTCTTCCTGGCCAAAAGTGCGCATCGACTGTGATTTATTCATTGTGGTCTGCAAATAATTCTTCTTTAACCCATCATTGATACTCTCACTTAGCTAAACCCTAAAGACCAAACTAGCAACACTAGTCAAGGGAGTGATTGGAGTTATTTCTGGTAGCAGTGGCCACTGGCATCCTAGAAACACATAGACATTTGTAGCATGAATTGACCTATTGGTAGTGCAATAGCTATACATGATTTTTATTCTTGGCAAAAGAATACTTATGCTTCCAAAAAAAAGTGATCGAACCTGCACATTGATCCTGTAACAGCAAATGGAAGGCTATTTCTCTGTATTAGCATTTCAGCTTTATGTGGGAAAGTTACCTGTTCTCCTGCAAGTACAATCAACCCTTGATGACTTAAGTATTAATTATTCTGGGTGTAGCTCACCCAAGTTTTCTTCCTACATCTTTTGGCTAATTCCACCACACCTCAGCATCACAGTCAGATGGGAAAAGGGGCAGGTGGATTCTCATGTCATGCCTTCTGGTACCTTATTTTCACATTTTGTGGTGGAGGAGATTTAATTATCTGCTCAAGAACTGGGTATACATAGCCAGGTGCGGTGGCTCACGCCTGTAATCCCAGGACTTTGGGCAAGGTGAGAGGATCACCTGAGGTCAGGAGTTCAAGACCAGCCTGGCCAACATAGCAAAAACCCATCTCTACTAAAAATACAAAAATTAGCTGGGTGTGGTGGTGGGCACCTGTAGTCCCAGCTACTTGGGAGGCTGTGGCAGGAGAATCACTTGAACCCCGGAGAAGGAGGTTGCAGTGAGCCGAGATCGTGCCATTGCATTCCAGCCTGGGTGACTGAGCAAGACTCCATCTCGAAAAAAAAAATCAGCTATATGTAAAAACTATTAATTATGGTAACCTCACTCCAATACTGTACCGATCAAGATCTGCCCACTCCTAGATGACTGACCCAATGGCAGATCCCCTACTATAATCTTTCTGACAACTCAGTGACAGGTAAAATCACTCTAATATTCCCTAAAATATCTAGACACTTGAATTAGAAATATGGAGTCACCCCCACCCCCGCCATTGCTTAAGCCATATTATAGCTTCATGTACTGTAAAGTCAGGGATGTACTGTGATACTTTAAGACCACTAATCTCAGTGGAATTTCAGGACATAGCATTAGTTGGTAAATTACACCAGACTAGGGGCTCACTCCTCCTTAGATTGAAGTCCAAATAAAAGTCTTCACCTTTGGATCAAAGGCCACATATATATGATCATCATAATAAATTGTCATAAAGTGTCTACAAACCGCTCTTGCCATCTTCCTAATACGTAACTTCATGATATCATGTCTCTAGAAGTGCTTAATACAATCCAAAAGAACAAGAGGGGGAAGGCCCCAAGTCACCACTGACCGACCTCACCAGGGGCCAGTGGTAGAACAACAATCTTGTGAATTAGGAGACATAGAAAATGCACGCAAAAGTAAATTCCAAGCGCTGAGCATGTACAAGCTATTTTTATTATTAAAAGCCAAGAAGGAAGAGCATTGAAGAAGTAATGATTTTAATATATTGGGAGATTTCCCCCTTAAATTTTTATAATTTCCTTATGAATAAACAATCGTGGAAAAGAAGAAACCTAGTCATACAAAATCAGAATAAATAAAAATCTAAGACTGGATCCACATCTTTGGCCAATTCATATAAGCACCTCATACATCAATTTCTCTGTACTTAAAAAGAAGAGAATAGTTAATATTCTTAAGTACAAAGTATTCAATACAGAACAAATGAAATCACCTTTGTCCTCAACAGCCACCCAGACTGATTGTGTCTAGTTCACACCTCGATGTTACGTTTGAATGCAATCAATTGTTACCAAAAAGTAATTAGTGCATATTAAATAGTGGTAAAATCAGCAGGGAGAAATATGGGATTAGCACATAGTTCCAGAACCTTCCTCCTCCTCCAGAGTGCAACTCAACAAAAAGTACACTCCAAATTAAGAATCAGTGTTTCATCCCAGGACAAACGGTGTTGCTCCCATCACAGTATCACAACTGAGATACTGTGAAGTCATTGCACTACCAGTAGGTTACTACTATTTTTAAGTTACTGTTTTTAAATCCTAAAATATGTTTCCAGTTTTCTACATTCATTCTTCTTCCCCAAGAGTTGCTAGAAGCAGAGGAAGGATCCCTATTGACTCTGCAGGGCTTGATTTCAGTACCTTAGACAGCTATCTGGTGACTTCCCGGTAGGCATGAACAGCCCCTTCTCTCCCCTTGCAGTCAGTGGGCTTGATGATGCCCCAGACAGTATCCTTTCCTTCTCTACTGCCGCCAAAATCAACATTAGGGAAATGGGATCATTAACACCACTGAGAAAGAAGTTTACAGGGATAGCAATAGTAACTGTCTGCTTGTGGTAGTAGAAAGCTTGTGTCAGGCTGCATGAATAGAAATTAACGTTAAACTCCTGTTAAACAAGTAATATGTAGATTTTTATTGAAACAGACCACAGCTTATTAAAAAGTACTCAGCGCAATGGTATATACATATATACAGATAGAAGAAATATAACTGTGATCTTTTTGTCTTACGCCATTACTGGAAACACCCAAACATGAACTGGAGTTCCCTCTGAACAAAACCATTGTCAAATCTTCAACATATGACCTCCAAATCTAGGTGCCAAGTGCCCTGTGACAGTTGTTTACACACCTGAAAAATGTATCCTGGAAGCTGTAATCTTGGGCCTGGGCTATGTGTTGAAACAAGCAAAAGAGATACCGTGACCAACCAAACTGGTGGAGGAAAAGCACAAAATTCAACACCAACCTGCAGTTAGGATCCCAAAGAGATGCTGACATTTATAGCCAAAAAGAAAAAGTACAAATATATATCTGAATCGGATCGAAGCAGCCAACGTCCAGCTTCACACAAGGAGGACAAGGAATAAACAACATTCTCTAGCTGTGTCATATTGTCTCAATTTTTGAATCTGACCCAAGACTGATCCACCTTCATCAGATACGTTTTTTAATGGCGCAACAACTCAATTTTGGTCCCAGACTCTCCATTCTGCACTGGCCACGAGAACAACAAAAGAGAATGACAGGATGTTAATGGAGGAAACATTTTCATGGCAAGCTCAGAAACTGAAGTGTTTATATTCAGAATCAGATGAGCTTTAATATGAATTTGCATCTTGCCTCTGTACTGCTTGCTATTTTTTAATGATAGGAGAAAGCATAACAGTTTATTTTAAATATGAAATATATTGATATATTATAAAATATATTGTAACTTTCAATTAACATTTTGTATCAAACTAGTGTTTAGCAGGTAGACTGTCAGCCTGCTCTCCCAATGACTGTTTCTGAGTACACATCACTGTTAGTGATTGCCAGGCACCCAGATCAAGGGTCCTCCTACCACAGCCTACTGAACTGCCATATTCTAATTCTCCAAGGCCTGAGTATTAGAGACAAAAGAACATTAT